TAATAACAACACCTTCAGCAACCAACCTTCTCCAGCACCTTCACTAAACAACAACGACGTATCTCTACAATAACCACCGTCTACAGTACCTTCACCAAACACCACTGTAGTTCCGCGAAATGAAAAACCTTCTACAGCTCCTTCACCCAACACCACCGGTGTGCCTCGAAATAAAAAGTCTTCTACAGTACCTTCACCAAACACCACTTGAGTGCCTCGAAATAAAAAGTCTTCTACAAAATAAAATTTTGCTGTCACGTCACCATAATTTGTACTACGTCCGCAATGACTTTACCATCACTGGCAGTTGTATTACAAGATATTAGAGAATTATGCAACAACATGTCAAGTACTGTTCCAAGAATTCCGTAAAGAACCTCTAAAAGTGCGATGTAAGGAATCATCTATTGATTTCCTCATATTTCCTGTACAATACAACTCCATGTTGTTGTTTTTTTGACTCAGCAGAATGATTTAAGGCTAAAATGTTCCAAAACATTAGTATATGTAGAAAATATAAAAATACTGTAAAGAGTATGATTCTGTACATATTTGTTTGGTAACACCTAAAGCGGCACTACAAACTGGTAAATGGGTAGGTTGCTGTGGACAATTATTTAGAAACTAGTTTTTACAAGAAAGGACAGGAAATACCAATGTTGTTTGACCTCATCCGTTGTTGTAAAAAAGTAATCTAAGGTCACGTGTTCGTTGAGTTATTGGGTACAACCTACTACAATCACAACATATATACATATTCAATTTAATTAAATATCTATCTGTTATCCAGAATGCATTCATATTGACAATAAATACAATATGGCCACCGTTCAATGACTGTATAACATCTACTTACAATGTGAACCATTCTCACGAAATCGGGAAATGATTGAACCACCATCTTTGTCTAACCTCTTATATAAAAGTATATCTGCACATTCTGCCGCTTATCTTAAATTATGAAAGCACTTTTTAATCAGATTGGTTTTCATCATTTTTGTGAGATTTTGGAGAAAAACGTTTCCAATAACAAATGTTAGTCGTCCGCATAAACGGCCTGAAATTTTAACACGACTTTGGATATGTTCCTGATATAAAGATCTGTGGTTTTAAGAAAATCATGCTTCAATATTGATTATAGAATGATGAATAACGGAATCGATCTTATCTCTTGAATCCTTCAAATCGAATCCTTCACTTACAACTTTCTACTGTTTCTGTTGGTTTGTTTCATGCATTAAACTGCAGTAGGAAGAAAGATAACTCTATCTTTATTTCAGAGCAAATTATTTCACGTACATAATAACGGTAGATCAACAGTCAGAAATAATGTTCTACAGAACATTAATTTCTTATTTGCTTTTTTAACACTGTTGAACGTCATAACACATCCGGGTTACATCAGTATATGTATTCCTGACAAACAGTAGAGAAACGGCGTATTTTCAGATATTTTCAATTTTTCAACTATCTTAACGTTAGATAGTACTATCATTTTTACTTTTTTTTTATCAACTTTGAGTCTATCGACTTACAGGTTTAAACATGTTCGGCAGCGTGGACATTTGTCACTTGTTCAGTCTACCCACTCCTTAGTAAAAACAAGAACAAAATCAAAACACAAATATAAAATACAGAGGAAAGGAATTGTGTAAACTTGGTTCATAAATTGGAGATACAACAAGGAGAATGTTTTAAAGGATGTTAAAAAAATTCCCTCTGTAAATTGGATAAACATGGCTAAGTGCCACTATAGAAGTGTCACCATAGTAAAATGATATCTGTTGTAGAGAAAACTACAACAGTGGTGAGGTTTGCATAGCAACATGACAATAGCACAAATGTTAACAGAACTGTATTCCAGATTCAAACTCGTTTACATCTCAATAAAGTCCTCTTTCAATTATATATGTTATCGATCGATATCATTTCTTAGGGAGCACCGGAAGGCGTGAATGATATAACATGTTATAGTTTATGACAACATGAATATTTTCTCGTGTAGCATATGGCATCACAACGTGATTAAACAAATTTGACAATCTGGTTATTATGCATATAAAGCAATATCTGTACTCAACGTACACAAGCTAATAAATATAAACTCATTAATATATATGTTCCATGTTTGTATGTATGTGTTTATATTCTGCCCTTAGTTTCTGTTAATTCAAGCTTTGTATACATGTCTGTGTTCTAATATATTGAGGAATATAACTCAGGAGTTATATTCCATCAGAAGAGAAAAATAGGTGTTTACTTGTTAATTGTATAAATGATGTAAACGTATAAAATGCAGATCTTTCTTAAAAGAAATTAGGTTGCCATCGTAACCAGGCCACTATATACTGGTGTTTGTGTTGTAGCCTTTAGCTCAGTCCAGCTGTTAAACAAAACCTTTGTCACTACCGCTCTTAGAACTAGGAAATCTACGTTACATGCTTATTGCAATACTGTTTCCTGCAAGAAGTCAAAAAAGGTCAGACAAACTCGTAACACAGGGTTTCAAATGGTGCAGTTTGATGAAAAATGACAGTGAAGTTTCAGTCAAAAATTGTCAAAGTGATCCCAATGAAAGATATTCTACTTATTTGTGTGATATGAAGCTGTACCATGTTCTAAAATGAGGACGTGACATTACTTACTTGGATTGATCAAGATTTACATAGCAGGTGTCGTCGATGATGCAGAATATGCTTACATCGGAACATGTCTTTAAATAACAAGAAATTTATCGACCACGTCCATCGTACCTACCCACCAGAATTGGAATCAGAGACACGGCAGACTTTTCTACATCAGCCTATCTGCATATCTCGATCTTTTCCCACAACAAAACCTTCACGGACAGCTTTCCATCAAATTTTATAATACGGGAGAGGATTTCAATTTTAATTTCCCTATCGCGAATTTTCCATTTCTTGATAACATTATCCCTGCATCTCCAACCTATGGTATTTACATGTCACAGTAGATTCGATATTCAAGTGCCTGTTCCCAGTATATCGATTTTAATGCAAGAATTGTTGTTCAAATTCGTAAGACAGGAGTTCAAAGATGCAGGCTGATGAAAACTATGGGGAAACTTAAGGGTCGGCATAGTGATTTTGATTGAAAAAAAATATATATTTCTTTGTGTGATATGAAACTGGACGTATTTGATACTTGTTAGTTTTCAGAGCACGACATTACTTACTTGGATTGACCAAAGTTAACATGACGGGTGTTGTCGTTGAAGAAGAAGACGCTTACTCTTCCGTAACACCTGGTTTTATACTCATTGTGCTTTTTCAGTAGTCTCCGTGTAAACCTTTCTTTTGTTCGTATTTTCCCTTGTTTTATTTATTTGAGTTTGGATTATGATTTTGTTGACATAAAGGTATTTTCAGTTGTCTAGACATTCAAATGACCAATCAAGTTTGAATTTACAGTTCATCATGACAACTAAAACACATACAGAGTAAACACAATGAAAAAATATTTTTGATATTTCTACTACACTGAGTTGTGACATCTGAAAATAAATCTTCAATAAAGCTTGTAATTTAGACATACATCTATAACCCAGAACTTACACAATGCGAATAAAATAACTTTTCATGTAATGCTTCCTTAGATGAATTGTTTTTACACAAAACATTAACGGTCTTCAAAAATTCAAATTTAGGTTGCCAAGGCAACTTTAAAAATCCGAAAAGAAAAAAAAACTGTTGCAAAATTACAACAAAGAAGTTCTTCAGTTTTTAATGAAATGTATGTATGTAATGTAATGAAATTAAAGCAGTCTCAAATGAAATTTGCTTATTTCAACAGCAACATATATTCGATAAACGAGCTAGTAACCATGTCAACAGTAAATTTCTGGCATATACGTATTCTTAGGTTCCTAATCCAGTAGTTCACAATACTATGAATTTCGGGTGTATTTTTGTTATTCACTTCTATCGTCAAAAACATTTGTTAATGATAGGAATTTGACATTTTCTTTTCAAATATTTTTTTTTAAATCTGGTTGCTATGGTAACGTCATTATTCGTAAAACATTATTTTTGTCCAAAAATTGGAAACCCTGTATTCCCTTGTTTCTAAATATATGGCGGGGCGGGGGGTGCTTACAAAAAATGTTTACTGGAAAAGGGGTGAAAATTCATGTTAAAGCAAAATGACAATTTTTTCTTAGTGTCATTAAAAAGTCCTGGGAGTTAAGGGGTATGGTAAAACCACAGCAGTCTAGTGAGGTCCATGAAAGTTACCTTACTTTAGCGAAATTCTGTTAACACACAGTATGTAACACCACAGCAAGTGAGGTATGTGAAATTTACCTGAGCGGTGTGTGCTAGGTTACCAACTTAAAGATCGCGGAACACACTGTGTGCAACACTAAATCCTTAAAGTTGGGTACATATTAAAAATGTCACATGACGTAGAGATTCGATTTTCCACGCAGAATCCGGGGTCGGCAAAGCGAAGTAACGGGGGAAAATATCTAGTTTTTTTCATACCTCACTTCGTGACTATGTTGTCTTGCTTTGTACCTCGGAACGTAATGTAAACACACACACAAGCACACACCCTCACACACACACACACACACATTGATAAGCAATGGATATGTACTTAAATACATTATGTAATTGATATAACATTGATATGTATTTAATCATTGATATATCAGCAAAATATTAGCAATCAAGGGCACCTGCACCGCTCACCTAACGAAAATTACAATAAACTGATAACATCTAATTGATTAGAAATATAACATAGGTATTACAAATAAAATCACCTGTCACCAATTCGAACGCAACTCCGAAACACGAATATTTGGGATAGTAGATTTGTCATGCACTTTGGGGATAGATAAGTCACTTAGTGTGTCCATACTATCTTATGTTCCACCTTCGTTCGTTGCTGAAGTACAATGGTTCATTTGAAGACTTACTCAAACAGATGCTTCGTAAAATGCAATATTGTCATTGGAAACAAACGTAAAGCGCTCTCTAATTATCAGTGGCACTGATATCAAAATACTTAGTGTCACTTTGGAATCTATTAATTTTGTCGTACAAGGTAGGTAATGAACAGTCGTATCCAAACACTTCACAGTCAACTCGTAATATGTCAGCTAGTTTCTCCATATCCTTCCTGTCAATTGACCCGAATGCCTCAGCGTATGCTTCTTGACGGTACAGTTTAGAGCGTGCGTTGTCGCGGGCATCCCCTCTAGCATTGGTGACAGCCATAACAAAGTCCTGTTGTTTTATGCTGCCTGCCTGCTCCCGAGTAAATGGAAATTTAGAATGTTTACTTATTACACCCCGTATTTTAAATTTTCTCCACATTATTTTCTGTGCATTGAAAAAACTAATACAAAAGTGTTGTCTATAAGCAAACAATAGGTTAACTTGATCTTTGATAGTATCACTAACAGTATCAACCCTCATTGTTTTATTTAGAGTGTATGCCAAATCCTTAAAACCAAGCGATTTAACGATATACAACGTGTCATCCACAAACGACTCCATCTTGCCAATGACGTCATATTTCACTTGACATGGACGACAGTGATCGTGCATTGGTAAAAAATGTCCGTTTCGATGTGTATTATGTGTTTCAGAATGAATGAAATATTTCACAAACTCTTTAAATGTGACATCATTTCCACAAATGGTTTCATCTTTCCTTTTTTCTTCTCTAAAATTTGTCACGATGTATGTTCCTAGCCCCTTCCAAAAGGATGGGTTCGGTGAAAATAATTTATCGACATATCCCGAGAAAAGCCGGTAAAACGGATGTCTAGTGATGATGAAGCTGCGATAGTTGGATATCATTGTATAGATTTCATCAAAATAGATATTTCGGAACGTTTCCTGGCCACCTCCCAACGCCCCTCCCGCCGGAATGTCGTACGGATTCTGGGCAGAGCTCAAACCAGCCATAATCTGAAATTTTGAAGAGGCCTTATACATTGTCAGTGTTCCTCGATCCTAATGTTACATTAACACTTTAAGATTTACATATCAGGTTTGTTACTGTTCCTGCAGGCGTCAAATACATTAATCCTCGTCTGCAGACATCATTACGATTATATTACAATTATTTAGATTATCTATTAATGGCAAGTATACGGACCTCCCACGTTCATATTGGATTCCTAAACTTCACAAGAATCCATATAAGAAGCGATTTATTTCCAGCTCGTCTAGTTGTTCAACCACACATTTGTCCAAATTTCTTAGAACCATTCTTAACACTATCAAATTAGGGTTACAGTCGTATTTTGATCCCGTTTACTCAAATAATGGAATCAATAGTGTGTGGATTTTGAAGAACACGAGAGAGTTTTGACCAATTCTTCAACGTGCTCTTCTAAATACATTTATTTCTTAAGAGAATTTGATATGTCTACTCGGTACAATACCATACACCTATCATGAATTTGCGTTCCTGCATCCCGAACCAAAAGTGTTTACAAATCGTAATTGATTCGATATTTAAAAGCCTAATCTCAATATTACGATTGTCGTATAAGATAGGACAACTGATAAACAAACTCGCAACACAGGGTTTGGAAAGATGAAGGTTGATAAAAATTACAGAGACTTTCTCGGTCGCCCTATTGATATCATTGAAAAATATCTTATTTTTTAATTTGAAGCTGGCTGTTAGTTTAATAATTGGTTCCATTGTTGTATATCTTGTTCTCAATTGACAGCGTGGCACTGCTTACTTGGATTGACCAAGTTTTACATGGTGGATGTCGTCGATGAAGCAGAAAATGCTTAGTCTACTGGAACCACTTATTCTGATACTCTTTGCAGTTTTTCAGGAGTTTCCGAGTAAATCTTTGTTTTGGTCATATCTAGTTTTATTGAATTCGAGTTTGGATTATAATTCTGTTCGTATTTTCTTGTTGTTATTTCAGATAAACGAAATGAAATTTACATTCAAACTTTTAAAATAGTTAATAATGATAATTAAAAAGCACTAAAATATTTTTAATGAAAGTGATTACCAGTAAATTTTGATTCAATTACACATTTCCATGATGTTATTTACCTGCCAAAGTCGTCTCCAGAATGTGGAACCAACCTTCTCCATGGCACAGTACAGGATACGGTGTTTCCGGTCGACGACAAAATGGTCTTTGATTGAGTTTTGTGAGGAATTCCCTCTAGATGCAAGGTCAATGTCCCGTCTGGAGCATGCTTCTAACATCGTTTTTCGTCGCACGGCATACACCCTGTTCAACTCCATATGTGAAGGATCCGTCCTTAAAATCTGCATGATAATTAAAGAAGGCCTCTTTCATTATAAATAATTTGTTTAGAGCAAATTGATTATGTCCTGAGTAGGTTTACCTAGGCTGACCTGGTTTTGTCATTGGAGGGTGAATGTATGAAAAGCCTTTCAAAACAGATATCATAACCGTTGTGTAGTCTCTCATCTGGATCCTACCAATTGAATCGTATGTCTATGCCCAGCCCAGGGTAGATATTCAATCAATGACAAGCGCTCTTGCTTCAATCCCTTCTACAGGGACACCTTTAAATAATGCTGGTTTATAAATGTAGTAATTGATTTTAATAGTTGATTTAATAGTCTTCTCCAAATCAATTTATCATCAGAAGATAGTGTAACGATACAGATTTACAGTCTACACTTACCGTAACACCGTTATTTTTTGTGGAGTTTCGAGCGTCTGTTCGTCCGACACCATCAAACAAACCTACGTAAGAAAAGTCTGAATGGATATAAATAAACATAAACATTGCAACAATAAGTTAGTTATTACAACGATTACACTGACACAACCCCATCACGAAATCATGAACTACCATTGGTAATTAGCAGAGATTTCTGTAGTTTTATTTATGATTGATGTGTGATGTAGTTTTGCTTTTATCCAGCGGTACTAAATTCGTTTGCTTGCTTACAACGGTATTTCCGTCGTAATCGGTTACTTGAATTGTGTATGTCTTCCGCACGAAACTATAGGCTATTTCATGTGTGTCTGCTGTCGTATCATGTACGTGTATGTCTGTCTTCGTACCATGTACATGTATGTCTTCGTATCATGTACATGTATGTCTTCGTACCATGTACATGTATGTCTTCGTATCATGTACATGTATGTTTCGTACCATGTGCATGTATGTCTTCGTATCATGTACATGTATGTATGTCTTCGTATCATGTACATGTATGTCTGTCTTCGTATCATGTACATGCATGTATGTCTTCGTATCATGTACATGTATGTTTCGTACAATGTACATGTCTGTCTTCGTATCATGTACATGTATGTCTTCGTATCATGTACATGTGTGTCTTCGAATCATGTACATGTATGTTTGTCTTCGTATCATGTACATGTATGTCTGTCTTCGTATCATGTACATGCATGTATGTCTTCGTATCATGTACATGTATGTTTCGTACCATGTACATGTCTGTCTTCGTATCATGTACATGTATGTCTTCGTATCATGTACATGTGTGTCTTCGAATCATGTACATGTATGTTTGTCTTCGTATCATGTACATGTGTGTTTGTCTTCGTATCATGTACATGTATGTCTTCGTATCATGTACATGTGTGTCTTCGTATCATGTACATGTGTGTTTGTCTTCGTATCATGTACAATGTATGTATGTCTTCGTATCATGTACATGTGTGCTTGTCTTCGTATCATGTACATGTATGTATGTTTCGTATCATGCACATGTGTGTTTGTCTTCGTATCATACACATGTATGTCTTCGTATCATGTGCATGTATGTATGTCTTCGTATCATGTACATGTATGTGTGTCTTCGTATCATGTACATGTATGTATGTTTCGTATCATGTACATGTATGTCTTCGTATCATGTACATGTATGTATGTTTCGTATCATGTACATGTATGTCTTCGTATCATGTACATGTATGTGTGTCTTCATATCATGTGCATGTATGTTTGTCTTCGTATCATGTACATGTCTGTCTTCGTATCATGTACATGTATGTGTGTCTTCGTACCATGTACATATTTGTCTGTCTTCGTATCATGTACATGTATGTCTTCGTATCATGTACATGTGTGTCTTTGTATCATGTACATGTATGTATGTTTCGTATCATGTACATGTATGTTTGTCTTCGTATCATGTGCATGTATGTCTTCGTATCATGTACATGTATGTTTGTCTTCGTATCATGTACATGTTTGTCTTCGTATCATGTACATGTATGTGTGTCTTCGTACCATGTACATGTGTCTGTCTTCGTATCATGTGCATGTATGTATGTCTTCGTATCATGTACATGTATGTATGTTTCGTATCATGTACATGTATGTCTTCGTATCATGTACATGTATGTATGTTTCGTATCATGTACATGTATGTCTTCGTATCATGTACATGTTTGTCTGTCTTCGTATCATGTACATGTATGTCTTCGTATCATGTACATGTGTGTCTTCGTATCATGTACATGTATGTTTGTCTTCGTATCATGTACATGTGTGTTTGTCTTCGTATCATGTACATGTATGTATGTCTTCGTATCATGTACATGTGTGTTTGTCTTCGTATCATGTACATGTATGTATGTTTCATATCATGTACATGTGTGTTTGTCTTCGTATCATGTACATGTATGTCTTCGTATAATGTACATGTATGTGTGTCTTCGTATCATGTACATGTATGTGTGTCTTCGTATCATGTACAGGTATGTTTGTCTTCGTATCATTTACATGTCTGTCTTCGTATCATGTACATGTATGTGTGTCTTCGTACCATGTACATGTGTCTGTCTTCGTATCATGTACATGTATGTTTGTCTTCGTATCATGTACATGTATGTTTGTCTTCGTATCATGTACATGTATGTTTGTCTTCGTATCATGTACATGTGTGTCTTCGTATCATGTAAATGTGTGTCTTCGTATCATGTACACGTATGTTTCGCATCATGTAAATGTGTGTCTCCGTATCATGTACACGTATGTTTCGTATCATGTAAATGTGTGTCTTCGTATCATACATTATTGTAAGAAAAATGTACTGAAGAAGCCATAGTTAACTAGGTTTTTAAACCAAATACCCTATTTCAAACTGACATTCGACACACTTAAACAAACTAAAGTAGCTCTACCCATGATGTAGATTTTCGAATACAGTGCAGAAAAATGTGTCAAATAATTCGTCAATTTTCTTGATATATTTGTTATTACATTTGTGTAAAGCAACTCTGATTGGATTTTGTTACGCTGAAAAAGTTTCCCTTCATATTGTAAAAGGTTTTCGTAAAATAGATTGCATTCAAGCTCCGCCTTATCTGACTCATGATGTATGCCCAAACTAATACGGGATATATGAAACAAACGTTTTGGCTGCAAAGATTTGATGTTCCGCATTTCTGCTCAAATGGGAAAATTTCAATTGAAAATTACATTCAATTAGTAACAGCACGGTTCATGGGAACAATAGAATTGCAAAATACTTCCAATACATACTTGCGCTATAGGTTTCCTGGTGAGGCGAGTTGTCCAGACAGACATGACCATTCCGAAGTAAAACGATCAGGCCCAAAGCACCACCGACGACATAGAGGACGTATCGACAGAGTTTTCTTTTGGAAAGCATACTTCTGGTTTGTCGAATGCTGCTATCAGGAAATGGTTTTAGGATGTTTACCACGTGTATTAGTTTCGTATCATCTTTAGGAATTAATTGTTTAAAATTAATTAACTACGATATGGTACACCCGTAGTTAGTTAATAATTAATAAATAACGTTAATGGTTTCTAGAGAGAATGTATTTGTACACTGACTATGACAAATATTAGGAAAATTACTCTATACCTAACATCATAATATCAGCTCACAGGAAATCGAAAATCAATAGGCAAACCACAACAGGTACAGTGTTTGTTCTATACTTTACCTGTGCTGTACAGTATTATGTACGAAAAAAACTGAGGATACACAATCACGGTGTTAATGAGATTTGCATTATTATGTTTAAAAAACATTAATTATTCTGGCTAATTCATGTGTCCAGGTAGATTATTGAATATACCGTCTCGTATCACTATCTTCTCGGAAAGCATTTATTTCTACACCAGAGTCATTCCAAACAGATAAATAAGGTGTGTTGTGGAATATGAACCCCAGTCACATCTGTTGAGTTGATCATTCTGTGTAAATCTTTTCTATAAAACATGTTTATTGCATTTTCTATAGCAACGGGAAAAACAAACACATACAGAGCCATTTTTCTTTAATTATAGCTATATAACTGAGCAGAATATAAAATGGCAGATTCATTCTTTTCATCCTTGAAAATATTCGTTTATTTTGTACAGCCTGCGAGTGAACGAACTTTAACATATATAGAAAACTTGTCTAATCAAAAGGTACATAGTTTTTACTTATAAGAGAGAGAGAATTATATATTGTAGAAAGTTATTCTTTGTTCATCATAATTCTTCAACGTTTGAAAAGGCATGGTAACGGCTTTGATAGGTTGATACAGTGTGCCTAATATCTGAGGACAATCGATCTCACTGTCTTATTGCAGAGGGGGAAAACGGATAAGGTAAGATGATTCGAGTATGTTATTAGGCAAGTTTCTGCATTAAGTAGAATGCGATGAGAAATAACAGCGAGAGGAAGAGACGTCGGATGTTAGGTCATAAACATCTTATAAAGCTGTACAGACATATATCTGTAAACTATACTAAAAAAAATCAAAGAAGAAATATACGGACGACAAAATAATAAAAAAACGGCATTTTCCTGCAACATGAAAAAACTTTCCACCAAGCTGTATGATAAGAGTGATGATTTCAATTCCCTTTGTGAATTTCCATTTCTTGATAGCAAATTCCTGCCTCCCCAATTTATGGTAATAAAATGTCGGAGTTGATCCGATACTCAAGGACCTACTCCTAATATCAAGATTTTTGTAATGTCGTCAGCTGAAATACAAACTCATAACACTGGGAAGATACCAATTGATGAAAATTATGGAGAAGATTATAGTTACCTCATAGCGAAATATTCTATTTAATGGAGCGATATGAAGCTGGATGTGTGTGATGATGGCCAGTTTGTCTTTCGGTCCGTTGATGTATGTTTTGTTGTCGTTGAAGAAGCAGAATTTGCTTGATATTCCGGAACTAGTCTTATTCTCCCTGTACTTTTTCATGATATCTTCGTGTAAATCTTTCCTTTGTATATATTTAGCCTTAGGTAAATTT